ATTTTCAATAGCCTCATATGTATGTGAAAGTTGGACAATGAATAAGGAAGTACTGATGCAGTTGAGTTATGGTGCTGGAGAGGAGTATTAAAAGTACAATGGACTGCCAGAAGAAACAAGTCTGTATTGCTGGAAGTTCAGCTACAATACTCCTTAGAAGCCAGGATGGCCACACTTCGTCTCTTATTTTTCAGATAAATTATTAGAGGGGACTAGTCCCTGGAGAAGGATATCATACTAGGTAAAATGGAGGGTCAGAGAAAAAGGTCAACGAGATGGGATTGGCACTGTGGCAGCAACAATGGGTTCAAGCCTAACTACGATTATGAGGCTGGCGAAGGATTGGGCAGTTATTTCGTTCTGTTGTGCATAGGCGGTAGGATTTGGAATCGACTTGGTGGCACAAAGGCATAAACCATAAAGTTGCCATTGTATCTTCACTGCAAAACACTCCCAGGAAAAAGAAAAAGCTTATTTCTTGGTACAGTCCTAGAGGAAGCCATAAAAACTAATTTTATTAAGCATCTATTCTTAATACTCATCTTTTAATTAAACATACTATGTGCAAAAATGGGAAGTTCAGGCTGTGTTGCATATAAGTGTGATGGCTGTCTCCAAGGGAGCACTTTTTCTGTGGAGACAAACACAGAAGGAACCACTTTTTTCATGGAACACTAACTGTCTGAGTGACAAGACATTTTCTATAAATTGAAGTGACCTTGTCACTGAAGGAAATCTTTATGTCACCATGAGCATGAATGTCCCAATACTTGAAAATAAATTGTCCTGACCAGTCAGTTATATTAACAACAAAACAATAGTGTAGAATTTTACATGTGTCAATATTTGGAAGACGGTATAATCCAGTAAACTAGTATTTTCCAAATGCCCAACAGATGATGTTACAAAATCATCATCACAGGAAAAAGATCCATTCAAAATGTCAAATAGACCAATGGGGTTTAATATAAGAGTATGAAATCTATTGATAAAGTTTCAGATTTCACATTGTAACTAATCTTCAAGAAACTATTAGTTACCAAAGTTGAGGCTGCATCGAAAATATCTGCAGTTACCTGAAACTACTAAAATACTCCAATCATGTATCTGCGTGAGGTCAGACATCCTCCATATATACTGCAACCAATGCCACATTACAACAGACTGAATACAGAAGCAGATGAGAATCCAGCCCAATTAGAGAATGGCAAAATACACAGACCAATGTTGCTTCTCAAACTAGATTTTGTTTTGAAAATAACTACTATTCACAAAGCCACGTTAATGTAAACATGTAATAATAGATCTATTACTTTTACTGAATTAAAACACCTGTTTTTCAAGTTTAATTTCTAATACAGTAAATATCACTAGATTTAACCTACATAAATAGAAGTTCTTTAGAGTCTTCAATTTTTACTAGTATAACCAGGTTCTGAAATCAACTTGAGAACAGCTGGTTAGGGGACTTCATATGAGTAAGCACTGACTATGGTGTTTTTTTCTCTTTTGTTCATTTATACCTCATTTGTATACTAAGGGCCACTCATCACCCTGAAGAAGACAGATTTTTACAAAGTGGTGTAAAAATGTTTCTGGAGTAGATAAAGGGTTACTTATAATTATCTAATATAATCAGTGCATCCTTGGAATTATCATTCATCTACACGGTTTTATATGAAAATTTTCAGTTAAGCATGATACATAAAATGATTAAAATAACATTTAAAACTAGGCTTTTATTTTTGAAAAATCAACCACATGTAAAGTGTCAGAATATTTTTATCAATTCTTTATTCAGGTAACAAGTTAGTTATGTTCACTGCATTGTATGAAACATCACAATATCATACTGGAAAGGTACTATCAGTACAGGGTTGGATCAGAGTGGACAGTTTGAACAATAAGCCTTTTTGCATTCTTCATTTCCTATCTTTCAACAACCCCGAACCCAGTAAAGGGACAAATAGCTTTTAACATCATCATGTAAAGCACTTTTAACTTACAATGCTAAAATCTAAAGAATAAATAAAATATATTGTGGCAATAATTCCTTTTAGACCAAAAATCAGGTGCACAATGAATCAAATGATCAGGAAAGCTGTCTATATTCAAATGTGTGGCTCTCCAGAAACAGCTTCATAAAAATGTTACAGAAAATACCATGAATTCCATTTTACACAGGACCAGATGATGACTCATTATTTTAACTATACACAAGGGCAATAACATCCTGCTGAAACACAGTTTAAACATATAGAAAAATGTTTACAAAGCATCCACAACATGTGAACCATGTACAAATGGATACATTCACTGTTTCTCCTATCCCAGTAGCATCTTTCAATAAATATTTTGTTCTTCCTGTTCATCATAAACTGGAATTAATACATGCAAAATGTAATAGAGTCCAAGAAATCAAGGTTATTGTAAAAATAGAATTAAACTAATAATCTTCAAGTACCTATGTGACAGCCACTCTGTACCGTGCCCAATGTTATAAAATGAAAGGTCACTGAACCCATGAAAATATCTCTGTAATATCTCCTTAGATCTAAAATAGATCATTTTAATTGTATTTATAATAATTTCAATGTGATATTCTGAGCTTTTAAAATAACATAAACAGTTAAAAATTCTATCAAATTACATAAAACTTGTATCTTAAAAGCTGAAAAAATTAAAACTATAGAAACCCACATGTAAAACAAAAATCACAATTTTTACATTATAAAAGCAAATTTCATCGTCTAAAAAAAGTTCGCAGCAGTGAGATGGAAAAGCAAATTATAAATAGCCATAAATTATTCCATTTGGTTTCAAAAGATTTTCTAGTGAAAGTTGAAGGATTTAGTAGATACATGCATAAAATTTGCATGGGTTTATATTATTATTCCAAATACAGTTTATCTTGAAGCAAGGCAACAATACAATTTGGACATTATCGGAGAACCTAGTTGGTAATACAGGTGAAAATTGAAAAAATTAAATAACAATTAATAATAAATACAGATATCCTATAGTAAATTGCTCAAATGAAATTCCAAGCCACAGAGCTGCAAAAGGTTTCCAACTTGGCGAACTGAAAAACAAACATCTCATACAATTCTTTACTCTTACATGCTTATATGTTGTGTTTTGCTTTTTTTTAAAAAAATAAAATAAACGTATCTTCAGAGTACAGCTAACTAATATCCTCATGCACCTCAGGTACATTTGTTGATTTGTGGTGAAATAACTTTGTTGGTTTCTAGGGCCAAAAGTTCTATACAGATGTAACCTGTAAGCCTGAGGCTGGCAAAAAATACTGTAGTAAAGGCAATGCTACGAGTGGCAATTATCAGAAAACACAAATAGGAACAAATGATGGGAAATGCTAATGATTTTCTGCTCATATCACAAAACGCTGGGAATCCACAAGAATATTTATCCCTTGGACTGAAGAAAATTGTGATTAAAAGTTTTTCCCCCAATTTTCAGAATCAAAAGCATTTTAGAAGGTTTATAAGGCTACCATGGGTCTTCTAGATCTCCAGCACCCTACAGGAAGAGAAAAGGAAGAATATTATTATTATTTATCTATACTACTTTCAGGTTGGAATGAATTTCAAAAGAAAACAAAATTAGATGAACAAAATTACCTTCCTTTGTTTGAAAAAGGTACTTTTACAGAAGGTGTGTGTTGTATATTGTGACTGTATAGATGTATCTATCTATACAGATAACTGGTTGGTTTTTTTCTCCCCTCTCCACCAAATGCTTTCCTCTTTCTTAAATCACTTAAAAATATTCTGGCTTTGGAAAAACAGGTCAAAATATCAGCTACATAAATTTCAAATTATGGTACACCTTAAGTTACTTTAAAAACACTTGGTATAAAATATAAATATGGTGAACAGAATTTAATAAAAATTATTAAAAAAAATTTTCCAGTGTGACTAATAGTCATCTGTATTTAAAATATCAATTTTAACTAAAACAAATCTGCAACTATTTAAAATAGCTCACAAATTTTATTGTTAAATAAGTGATTTTAGTACTTGAGCAAAACTGACAATGTTGCGATCTTTAATGTTGTGTACCACAAAAGGGATAACAGTATCAATTTACTCTGAGCAATTAAATTTAAATAGTACCAATTTAACTTTTTTCTTTTTTCATTTAAGTTTATCTCTTAGTTAAAGAAATAAGCTTAAGTCAAAAATTTCTAAGTTCTACATAAATACAAATGAGCTTCTAGTGGGTAATTTTTCAATGTATCAAACCATTGTTTTAAAATAAATTAACTTAAAAATAAGTACAACATGCATCGATTATTCCACATCACATGCTTTATTTGGACTTAAACACTTATAATTTCATTCTAAACACTTGATCAACATACATTTTGATGTGTATAGTTAGGCTATACAGATTTTACAAACCAAAGCTGTATGAGTAATACATAGGTTTTTCAAAAATAGTTTCAAAAAGAATACAGAGAAAGAAAAATAACCACACATCTAATATCTCACAACTTCTAAAAATGAAACTATAGAGATGTAAACAAGTCAACACAAATTACCATCCTTGAAAGAATTTAAAGGCCAACATCAACCTTTCTTTGAAGAACTAAAATGATTAAACACAGATTTATTACAACGCTAACTATGAGTGTACTAAAATGTAAAGTAATGTGAATCAATAGAATTCTACATTAACAGATCTTTTACACAATATAATGTAATATCTAATTCTGCTTAGTATGAATTTTACTTAATTGGTAACCTAATTTCTGGCATACAATATAAATTATATATAATTTTATTAAATTCAAAGTACTATAAATAGTTAATTTTAAACTGTCTGATAAAGGTGTATGCAAAGAAGGCCTTCTTTAAAAAACAAGGCTGTATGAATAAACTAGTTTTCAAGGATTCAAATAACAAAATGTTTATATAAATGCAAACATTACACTTCCTAAGTAAAAACCATCAAATCAAAGATCACAAAAAGGAAAGTCATATTTTTTCACCACTCATCTTTGTCCCTGCATCTTCATTAGAGCTCTCTAATTCAGCATGATCATTTTTTGATTCAGTATGGCTTTCCTGCATTGTCACTGGGTTTCCAGCATCACTGTTCGAAGAAGTAGCTGCAGCAGCTGGTTCAGCAGGGCTTTCTTCTCCCTCTACTTTAGCTAGCCTGTAACTAGTCAGCATCTCCTCCAGAAGTTGTCGGTAGTTTCCCCTATGATTAATTCTCATTTGCCTGAGAGCTTCCACCAATTTCCCCTGTGATCCACTTTCCTCTGCTTCATCCGAGGCCTTTTTTTAAGATTCAAGACCCCAGTGTCAGTAGACAAACTAGGATATCACACGTATTTCATAACACATTACATCAAAACACTCATTGATCTACCAGGCATAAAATAGTCTAAAAGCATGAGAACATTTAATTAAATAAATATCCAGTCTTACCTGTGTATCAATTAAAATTTCTGTATAGTAATAACTCAATTTTAGCAAACAAATTAATATTAACTAGTTTATATCTTATTTTCATTTGAAATTTAATCTGAAATTTACTCTTCTCTAAGAAATCATCAGCAACATAAGCATTTATTAGACCCAATGAATTCAAACAATAATTGGCTATCATTTAGTAGAAAAGAAAATCAATGTGGAAAGCAATAGGAAAAGACAGAAAAAAGCAGGCCATCAGAAACCTACTAGTTTCTTAATAATTTCTGTTAAAATGACATAAGATGCAAAATGTAAAACTATACATTTACATGTGTTTTTTGGGTTCTATTTAAAAACTTCTATGGATAAAAATTTTGCCTTGGAATGCTAATAAAAACACCTACAGATATAAAAACCAATTATCTTAAATATTATATGAGATAAAAATAGTAAACTTCTCAAAACTTTTATATTTAATTAAATTTTAGAAAATATACTAGTAGCTATCTAATCTTAATAGTTGAATAAGTCAAACCTACCAAACTTAAAAAAGAATTGATAAACTAAAAATAAGACAATTTTATATTATGTACCTCCTGACAGGATGCATTATGAAGTATAGAACCATGTCCTGTGTTCCTGTCCAAGACTTTTAGTGAATCTAGTAAAGCTAGGCCTCAGTTTACAATAAAAAATAGAGCTAGAGGATCATGTTAGAGAATACCATATGAATCTAGGATGTGGGGCATTCAATTTAAAAAAATGCCTCCAATTTTTTCAAAAAGTCAGTGTTGGAGTAAAAATGGGGTGTAGGAGAATTGCTTGACAAAAGACAGACTAAAAATAAAAAGACTTAGCAAACTAATCAGATAGTGGTTCAAAATAACAAAGTCATTCTATACAAGACTGAAAAGGCAGGGATTTGAAACTTGGTAAATTGAAATTTACCATTCATTTTCTTAGGTATCATAATGGTGGTATGATTCTGTATGAAATTCTAAAGAGCTGCATACCCAAATATTTTAGATGTGAAATATTATGTTTGTAATTTGCTTTAAAATGATTTAGTCAAATAAAGAAAAAAGTGAATATACATATATACTTATATAAAGTGATATGGATAATGCTAAGAACTATAACATCTAGTTAGAAGGTATACACTTCACTATACCAGCACAAATATATGACAATTTCAACTTTTCCATTTGTTCAAGAAATTTTCACCACTAAATATTAGAGAAATATAAAAAAGTTTACTGATTTTGATGACCTAACACAACTCTTAGGTTATACAAAACAGTAACCTTTTTTACATTTTATTTTTTCAATATTTTATGATGAAAACTTCCAAACATACAGAAAAGTTGAAAAGGTCATAGTGACGTATATACTTTCTAACTAGATTTTATAGTTTTTACCATTCATCATTTCACTTTACATAAGCATAACATTGCAGGTTAATGAGGAGCTGGACTGCAAGGTCAGGTTGAATCACAAGGTCAGCAGTTCAAGTTCCAGCTGCTCCTCAGAAACCCTTTACAGGGTTGCTATTGAGTCAGAACTGACTCGATGGCACCTAACAACAACACAAACTCTGGGCTTCTGGTGTGGTGCTGTAGGATATGTTTGTACTTGACCATAAGGTTCGTTTGAAATTCAAGGTTGGTAGTTCAAACTCACCACCACTCCTTGGAAACCAAGTGGACTTGATGGCACTTAACAACAGTAACAATACAAACCAGTATTTGGAAACAACTCCTGGTGTGGTTCTATAAGATCAGCACTGGACTGTGAACCATAAGGGTCAGAAGCTGAAACCCACCAGTTGTTCCTTGGACACCCTAAACAGTGTTGCTATGAATTCAGAATCAACATGGCAGCAACTTAACAATATCATATAATTATTCTATAGTCAATAATTCTTTTGTCCTGTAATTCTTCAATAAAAGCAAAGGTAACCTAATGCTGCAAATATATTCATTAATGTGACGAAGCACACAGGGGGCAAAGTTCTGAAAATGTCTTAGACATAACCAAACACCTTAAAGGAATGAGTCCCTGGACCTGAAGTCATCAAGATCAACTGCCATTACAAAGTCCACAAAGACACAACCTACACTTCAGTAAGTAGTGACAGGAGTCTTAAAAGCTCAAGAACAGCCATCTATCTAAGGTGCAATAATTGGTCTCAGACCCTTTCGTGGAAGAAAGAAATGTGAAGAAAATCGAAGATGCTAGGAAACAATTAGTCCAGTAGACAAATGGACCATACAAACATCATCCTTCATGATTCTTGACATTTCAAGAAATAGATGGTGCTCAACTAACATTAACAATTACTCTGAAAGGGAACAGGTAAGAAAGCCCTGGACTGAGCGAAGAAAAGTTTGGAACAAAACTCAAAATAATGAAAAAGGAGTAGGCTTACTGGGGTTAAGAGAGACTGGTAGAACCCCTAAGACTACGGCCCTTAGTCATTCCTCGTTAGGAAGGCTTAAGATAGAACATTCAGCAGGTATGGAGTTAAATTTTCATAGCTTTATTTATTTAAATCTATATATGTCAGAATCACTGATACACAGACTTAAGCAATATGGCTCTATACTTACTTGGGATTATTGATAAGGATGGATCAAAGGTTAATTTGAGTCCATTTTGGTATATTCAACAGACAAGGCCCCTCTTATTCCCTATTTGACACAGTTTTTGGCTACAGGAATCATCTGTATTTCTGTGAATTGTTGTTAATTGTGGTGGTTAGGGAAGAGTACCTGTTTTCTAAAAAAATATACTCTTATAAAACCTGTAAATCAAGTAGGGGTGGATTTATAATGGCTACCATCACAGGGTCGGACCCGACTCAACGGCACTTAACAACAACAACAACAACAACCATCACAGAACCACTGACTTGAAAAGGAATTTAGTTAAAAGAATTTACTTGTAAGAGTTGTTATGTGTTATGGAAAATTGTACATTCCTTTACGTTGGCTGGAGAGAGAAAGATAATGAAATTTCTTCCCCAGTCATATTATTTGAGTCTTCAGAATAATGTTGAGAACTAGCTCACGAGTTTTCATAAATTTAGGAAGAGGAATGTATTATTTAACTGCAATTTCTTATACTTGAACTCTAATAGGTAGTACAGCACACCATGTGTACACATCTATTATAACAATTCTATGATGTAACTGTTCACACATCTCTCCAATTAGATTATTAATTCCTTGAGAGTAAAGATGATTTCATATTCCTTTCTATATTATTCTACCCCTCACCAAAGGAAAATAATTTGTGCTAACAGCTTTACATATATGATCATATTAAATCCTCACAAGTAATCTATGAAATTGTTACTGTAACTCTTATTTTATAAGTGAGGGAATGAAAGCTCAGAGAGATTTTAGTTACCTGTCATACTAACAACACTAAGAAGTGTTACTCGGATTTCTGTACATAGGTGTAGCTAATATCAATTTCCACCTGAATGTTTCTGAGAATACATAATGGTACTAACATTTTTTACATCATAACTGTTCAAATAAATAGACATTTACTAAAAAAAAAAATTTTATATTGAAAGATTGAAAATACAGGCCACTAGTGTGGTGCTGTGGGTTACTGCGCCAGACTGCAAAGCCATTTGAACTGCAAGGTTGGCAGTTCAAGCTCACCAACTGTTCCTTGGAAACCCTATACAGGGTCGCTATGGGTCGGAACTAACTCGATGTTAATTAAAGTTATGTTGATTAAATTATTATTACCTGGAAGTTTACAATTATAAAGTAGGCACAGGATTCGAATAGAAATTTCACCAAAGAAGATTTTCAAATGGCCACCAACCACATGAAAAGAAGCTTAAGTGTTATTAAGTCATCAAAAAAACACAAATGAAAACTAAAATGATTTACCACTACAATCCCACTACTATGGCTAAGAAAAAAGGCTTTAAAAAAATCAACAAAGCAAATGTTGGTGAGGATGTTGAAAAATTGGAACACTGATCTATTGCTGATGGGAATGCAAAAATGATGCAGCTGATGTGGAAAACCATATTGTACTTCCCCCAAACAACTAAAATTAGACTCAGCAATTTTACTTTTAGGTATATACCCAAGACTTGAAAGGAGAGAATCAAAGAGACTTGTAAACTAATGTTCATTGTAGTACTATTCACAATAGTCAATTGCCCATTCATAGATGAATGGATAAACAAAATGTAATAGTAATACATACACATAACAGGACACTACACAGTTAGTAAAGGAGCTCTGGTAGCGTAGTGGTTACGAATCGGGCTGTGAACCTTAAGTTCAGCAGTTCGAAACTACCAGCCGCTCTGCGGGAGAAAGATGAGGCTTTCTACTCCCGTAAAGATTTACACCCTAGGAAACCCTGTACAGGGTCGCTATGGGTCAGAACTGACTCAACGGCACTTAACAACAACACAGTTAGTAAGAGAAATGAAGTCTTGATACATACTACCATATAAATAGAGTTTGAAGATATTATGTTGAGTGAAATAAGCTATCACAAAAGAACAAATACTTATAAAAGAAGAAAGGAAAAGGCAAGTATGTAGTTATTATTAAGTGCTATTGAGTCAGTTCTGACTCATAGTGACCCTGTACAGGGTTTCTGATGCATGGCTGGTGAGTTTGAAGCCCTGACCTTGCAGTCGGCAGTTCAGTGCTTACCCTACAGCACCACACACCATGACCAGAGTTTATCAGTAGCTACAAGGGGTGGAAGAAAGAGGGAAAAGGAAAAGTTATCAGTGATGGGAAATCACATAAAGGTTAGAGTTGTACAGAAAATTATGGTATTGCTGTCATCATATTGTACAGCTATAAAACCTTGAATTCGCAAAAGTTGTGTGATAGCTATATTTATAACAAAGAGTAGCTGCTGAGACTACTATGTCCTGGTGTGGAGCTGTGGGTTTATGTGCTCCGACTGCAAAGTCAGTTTGAACCACAAGGTTGGCGGTTCAAGCTCAGCAGCCCATCCCTTGGAAGCCTTATACAGGGTAACTATGGGTTAGAATAGATTCAATGGCACTTAATAACAACATCTGCAATCAAATTGATAACAATAGCACAAAATATTAGATAGGAAGGAGCCTTAAGGGTGAGTGAGTTTATGTTAATGAGGCAGGACTCAAAAAAGGAGGGTGAGAATGGTTGCAAAACTCAAATATCACCAAATGGCAATGTAGAAACTGGTGAACTGGTGTAAGTTTTGCTGTGTATATTATTAACAACAATAAAATAAAGGAATGTTTAGAATACAAATCTAAAGCAATCACTAAGATTAGAACTGACTTTCCCCTTAGTTTTTTTTAACTTTTTCTTAAGGTTCTTTTTTTGTCTATACAAACATAGATAATAAGCCACTTACACTGCTAATATACCAGCAAACACATCATGGGATTTGGTTCATTAGTTTGCAGGTATACGCTTATGGTTTCTTTCATGGGACATCCCAGTTTGAAAAGGAGAATTTAATCAGCTAACATTTATTTGCAGCAATATAATCTTTTA